GCAACTTTAAGCCTGGAGGACTTCAACTCCCAGAATTCCCCAGCCAGCTTTGCTGCCTGGGGAATTCTGGGAGTTGAAGTCCTCCAGGCTTAAAGTTGCCAAGGTTGGAGACCCCTGCGCTAAGGAAATACTACTTCCTCCTTAGAAGTCTGTAGAGATTCTTAGTCATCCAGGTCATGGTTGTCCCAAAGGTGCTTTTTCAGGAGGCAACTGGACTTTCTTGGTTGTTTTTCTTTCCTTTTGAAGACGTTTCCCTTCTCATCCAAGAAGCTTCTTCAGCTTTGACAGGAGAGTGAGGAATGGAAGGATTTATATTCCTTGCAGACTGCTGGTCATTTGCATCCTTTTAGAGGGTCATTGAAACACTTGGAGGCTTCTCTGTGTCCCCTGAGTGGGGCTTCCGGTTCCTACAACCTGCCATTTTTCCTCTGGAAATCCATTCCTATCCCCACATCATTCAAGGGGTGTTCATCCCAAATTATATAGCTAAAAGGATGCCCACTGAAAAAGATGCAAAGGACCCAGCGGCTTGCAAGGAATATAAATCCTTCCATTCCCCACTGTCCTGTCAGAGCTGAGGAAGCTTCTTGGATGAGAAGTGAAATGTCTTCCAAGAAAAACAAGAAAGTCCAGTTGCCTTCTCAACAAAGCATTTTTGGGACAACCATGACCTGGATGGCTGAGAATCTCTACAGACTTTTAGCTATGCAATTTGGGATGAATACCTTTTGAACGGTGTGGGAGTAAGAATGGATTTCCAGAGAAAAAGACAGCAGACTACAGGAACCAAGAGCGCTACCCAGATGACCCTGAAGACACAGATAAATCTCCAAGTGCTAAAAAAGCACCTTTGGGACAACCTCCTTTCCCCAACCTGGTGCCTCCAGCAGTGCAGAGGTGCAGTGTTCACAAGGGTGGGTGGAGGGGTGAAGAAATCTGTGGGGTTTGAAGTCTTTATGGGCTTCATCCATGCAACTTGCTTGGCTCCCGATTCTAAACTCATTTTCCTGCATTTGCAGAGTGAAGGCAACTTTCCATGGGATTGTTTTTTTATTTCTGGGGTCAGAAACTTCATATTGTTGCCCTGGCTGGAGGATTCTGGGAGTTGAAGCATCATACATCTTAAAATTGTCAAATTTGGAAAACACACATCGTGTGGTTTTAAAATCCCAACTGTTGTCTTTAACAACAATCTGAAGTGCGATATCCTTGACACCAGAGAGAAAATACGTGTATGTCTGCATATTTCAAATAGTTAAACTATCTGCCTTCCAAAGCAAAGTGCAATTTTTTGTTAAATTAGCTATAGATTTATTTACAAAGTTACTTACAGCTTACAAATGAGATAGGTAACAGCTGAACAGACTGGCTGACCAACTTTCCTTATATCGTCCGGCAATATTACATCTTATTTTTCCAGTGAAAATGATTTTGGTGGCGTAATATGCAGTTAAAGCCCTTCCCAGACATAATATAAGCTGTACTGTAGCCCAAGCAATTGCCATCTGTATCCAAATGGATGTAAGAAACAGATAATGACGTAACTAGCAGTTTTGTTTTTAGCTACTGGTATAAAGAAAGCAGCCTAAGTGGGGGAAAGTATCAAGCATTGTTTATAGCATTCTGTTAATATATACAGGTAGTCCTCTACTTACAATCATTTGTTTAGTGACAGAAATTACAATGGCAGTGAAAAAAGTGACATGACCATTTTTCACACTTACGACCGTTGCAGCATTCCCCATGGTCACATGATCAAAATTTGGCCACCTGGTAACTGGCCTGTCTTTATGAGGGTCATGCAACCTTCTGACAAGCAAAGTCAATGGGAAAGCTAGATTCACTCACAAACTGAAAAAGTTGTTCAGAATTACTAACCAAACAATTGCAGTAATACACATAACAACTGTGGCAAAGGAAGGTCATTAAAAAGGAGCAAAACTCACTGAAAAATTGTCTCAGCAACAGAAATTTGGGGCTCAATTATGGTTGTATTTCTTTTGCCAGCCAAGTTTTGGTTATATTTTTCCCCATAGATTGTTTTTTGCCTCTAAATCTTGTTATACAGGTAGTCCTCAGCTTATAACAGTTCCTTTAGTGATGGTTCAAAGTTACAACGGCAGTGAAAAAAGTGACTTATGACCATTTTACAACCACTGTGTGCTTCCCATGATCACATGATCAAAATTCAGATCCTTGGTAACCAACTCACATTTATGACAGATGCAGTGTCCTGGAGTCATGCGATCCGCTTTTGCAACTTTCTGACATGCAAAGTGAATGAAGGAACAAGATTCACTTAAGAACCATGTTACTAGCTTAACAACTGCAGTGATTCACTTAACAAATGTGGTAAGAAAGGTCGTAAAATGGGACAAAACTCACTTAACATGTTTCTCACTTAGCAACATAAATTTCAGGCTCCATTGTGGCCATAAGTTGAGGACTATCTGCATTAAATCTATGGACTTGTTCCATAATGTTTTCAATTGTTATATTGAATATTAGAATCATTATTCTGGAATATTCTCCTGTGAGATCTGTCACCCTAAGCCTGGCCTTCTGGAAGAATCTAGAATTTTTTTTGGGGGGGGGGGCAATAGGGGCCTTATATATTGGGACTGGTTGACCTGGGAGAGAAGCTCCCCACTTCCAGATCTCCTGTTGTCTTGTTTTTTTAATCTTTTTTTAATTTAATTTCTCTAATTTCAATTGTCTTCTGTGACTTTTTTTACTTTTTATCATAGTTCAAGCTGCCCAGAGTCACTGCATCATTGAGATGACTGACATTATATACAAACAAATTGATTAAGATGTTCAAGACAGAAGTTCAAGATTAATATAAAGATGACAAAGATAAGATAACCTTTATTGTCATTTTTGTCTCTGAACGCACTAGCACAGATTGAAAAATGACATTCTGATGCCCACTCTCAAAAGAAAATGTAAGCCAAAATGTTGAAAGTCCACCCAAGCAAACAGTGCTATCCAGGGAAGAATGCTTTAAACCAAGTTTCTGTTGCAATGATGGCACAGCAGTTTCTCACCTCTGGGTTGTTATTCACCCTAGCTTCAAGTAATCCATTTTAAGCTTTAAGGAGCACATTAGCAAACAAAACAGATGGTAGTGTCACTCTATATGGATTAACCTTTTAAGCCTAGTTGTTAGCCCTCCATCCAAAATATCTATATTTTTATTATTATATTTCTATCCCATTTTTGCTTGATGATCACTTTCCCGAAACAGACATAATGGCATCGTCTAGCCATTTGGGAGCCAAAAGAACAATAAGAACAACCGCTTTTTAATACTTGAACAATGGCTGGGCGATATTATGAAGAGCTTCAAAGTGGCAGTGTACACAGGAGGTCTTCCTTCATTTTATCTTAGCAAAAGCAACTCTGTGAAGTTGGTTAGCCAGGTCCATGTTGGTGGATACATCACCTCCATTTAATCCACTGCATTTTTTCCTTTCTGGTGCAGAATATAGGAGGGTTGACCTGGTGTCCTATTTTCTACCTCTATCCTGTTGCTATTATGTTTCTCAAAGGGTTAAGGCTGGAATAATCAAAGATCATTCCTTTGGGGACTATCCATGCTAATTGATTTATTGATTATGTGCTCTCAAGTCTGTATCATAGATAATTTTTTCTCCAAGAAGATCTGTCTCCACCTGACCCTTCAGATTTTCCAAAGGTGCATCTATCATTGATGTAGTTGAATCCATCCACCTTTGTTGAGGTAATTCCCCGTTAGGAGAATGAGCGCATACAGGGAGACGTTTTGAGAGTCGTGTTTCAATAATACACACACAGCACACAGATACACTGTACATTAAATGTAGGTTTTTACTTCCAGAAAGGTTTAAAGCAAAGTTCAAAAATAGGCAGTCCAAAGTCATTCACAGGTAAGATCAGTCAGTTTTTAGTCCAGGGATAATCCAATAACAAAGTCCAGTGTCAAAAACAGTTCAGTAACAGACTTACATCAAATCCAAGAATAGCAGTCAATTAGGAAAAATGGAGGAACAGCGATACTCTCCAACAGAAAGAAACAAAGACTCACTGAGACTTCTTCTGACTAAGACAACCCAGGTTTCTGGCTCCATCTTATGGCCGTTTGAGAAACCACACCCAATTACAGTTTTTGCATTTTCTTAAAGATACAGTATTAAAAAGTCTATTCTTGTTTATATATTTCAAACCCAAATACCTGTTAGGTGACTTATATTCCTAACAACCTTGTCCTCTTTTGTGTCCTCTTTTGGTATTTGATTACTACGTAGGATTAGGTTAACAACTCTTAATGCCTTTTTGGCTATGTAGTTGCAGTGGGCTCTAGCACTT